TTGTGTAGGAGACGGTTTTGTACTTTATTTTTCTTTTTAGGTTCAAGTTAATAATGATGTTATTCTAGGTTTTAATTGAGCATGGCGAGTTGTTGTCGGGTATTATATGCTCTCGAACTGTTGGCCGTTCTGCTGGCAACTTACTGCACGTTGTTGCTCTTGAGTTGGGGCATGAAGTTGCGGCTCAGTTTTATTCTCACATCCAGACAACAGTTAATGCTTGGTTGTTGGCAGAAGGTCATACGATTGGCATTGGAGATACAATTGCAGACCAGCAGACTTATGAAGTTATTCAGCAAACTATCAAGAAAGCAAAACAGGATGTAGTTGATGTCATTGAAAAGTATTTTCCTTTAACTGATATTGAAGTTTATTGGGCGGCCTTGTTCTTGAATGATTAAATCTTTCACAGAGCACATAATGATGAATTGGAACCGACACCCGGAAACACGTTAAGACAGACTTTTGAAAACATGGTCAATCGGATACTGAATGATGCTCGTGATCGTACAGGTGGTAGTGCGCAAAGGTCGCTTTCGGAGTTTAACAAGTTCAAAGCTATGGTGGTGGCAGGATCGAAGGGGTCAAAAATCAATATCTCTCAGGTGTCTGTCTAACTTTATCTATACATTCTTTTTTAATTCAAAGCATTTGTGGGCTGAACAAAAATTATTTTTTTAGGTTATTGCGTGTGTGGGCCAGCAGAACGTTGAAGGAAAACGCATTCCTTTTGGTTTCCGTCATCGTACTCTTCCACATTTTATCAAAGATGACTATGGACCAGGTATCACATAAAACATATATTGCAAAAATTTATTAATTTTAATAGTTTGCTTATTTATATAGCATTTACCCTGTGCTTTAATTTGGGTCATTTGCTCTAAATTGCTTTTTTATAGAGTCAAAAGGATTTGTTGAAAACTCGTATTTGGCCGGCCTTACACCATCTGAATTTTTCTTCCATGCGATGGGTGGTCGTGAAGGTCTTATCGATACTGCCGTTAAAACTGCAGAAACCGGTATTCCTGATTGATTCTAAGCGAATTAGAGATGCCGAAATTCTGTACATGCGGTTGCTCATGTGAATTGATGAGTGTGGGGTCATTCAAAGATAAGCACTTCAGGTTATATTCAGCGACGCTTGATCAAGGCTATGGAAAGTGTTATGGTTAATTATGACGGTACAGTCCGTAATTCGTTAGGACAGCTAGTTCAGCTTCGGTATGTTGTATTTCGCCACTAGTATAAACCGTCAAGAGTCTTTTAAATCTTCTTGTCATTTAGGTACGGCGAAGACGGTTTGGATGGTATGTGGGTGGAAAATCAATCAATGCCGAGCATGAAACCAACGAATGCTTTATTTGAAAAAGATTTCAAGTTGGATCTGACGGATGAAAAGTGAAACTTTGCCATTCCTTCCATATTTTTCCCTTGTTTTTCTTTTCACTTCCGTTATATTGGTATTTTAGATATCCAGTTATCAATCTGTACTTCAGCCGAAGAAATTGATCGTTTAGTTTTTAAGAATGATTCCTTAGCGTTTTCTTTTTTTGAATTTCTTTAGTTGCAGGGCTTTACGAAGAATGTATACGGAGAATGTAATTCGTGAGTTGCAAGGGTCGGCAGAAGCATTAAAAGAAATTGAATCAGAATGGGCACAATTAGAAGAAGACCGAAGATTGTTGAGAAAAATATTTCCTCGGGTACTGCTTCAGTTAATAACTGCTATGAAAGCCTCGGGTTTCTGGAAGTATTTTCAAATCTTTGAGTGATTAAATTTGTTGTCTCATCTTTAGGGCGACGCGAAAATTGTTCTTCCATGTAATCTTCAGCGGATGATTTGGAATGCTCAAAAGATTTTTCGGGTTGAGTTGCGTAAACCAACTGATCTTAATCCGTTGAAGGTAATTGAAGGTGTCCGGGAATTAAGCAAGAAGCTCGTCATTGTTGGAGGTGAAGATCGAATTAGTAAACAGGTGATTTTTATGGGATTAGGAAGAAGACTTTTTTGAATTTGCCTACTGGTCCATATTATATCATCAAATACTTGCGGTTTTAGGCTCAATATAATGCTACTTTGCTCATGAATATATTGCTCCGTTCTACACTCTGTTCGAAAAGGATGGGTGAGAAACACAAATTGAACCAGGAAGGGTTTGAGTGGCTTATTGGTGAAATCGAGTCGCGTTTTAAGCAAGCTATAGTAAGTTTCGTCAAATTTTTCACAAGATGTTTGACATCTGATTCTCTTACGGCTTCTGCGACTCTTGCTTCAAATGAAGTTTGGTCATTGTCGATGATACAGCTTTAGGTGATGTTCTGTTGCTTTGTTTCTAATTATATGACATACAGGCGCAACCGGGTGAAATGGTCGGTCCTTTAGCTGCACAAAGTCTTGGTGAGCCCGCCACTCAGATGACTTTGAACACGTTCCATTATGCCGGTGTATCAGCTAAAAACGTAACCCTCGGTGTACCCAGGTTGAAAGAGATTATTAACGTTTCGAAAAAGCCAAAAACACCTTCGTTAACTGTGTTTCTTAATGGACCGGCTGCGAAGTAAGTGCATTTTGGTAGCGAGGATTTTACGAGTGGATTTTAATATAAAGTTTTTCACTTCAGGGATGCAGAGAGGGCAAAGGATGTTTTGTGCAAACTGGAGCATACCACATTGCGCAAGGTAACTGCAAATACTGCAATTTATTATGATCCAGACCCGAAAAATACTGTTATTGAAGAGGATGAGGAGTGGGTTAGCATATTTTATGAGATGCCAGATTTCGATCCTTCGAGAGCTAGCCCCTGGTTACTTAGAATTGAACTGGATCGCCGACGGTATGTATTTAGGAGTTTTGCTGTTTCTTACGTTTTCATTTTTTTGAAGTTGGATGACCTCAGTTCTTTAGAATGACAGATAAAAAATTAACCATGGAAGCTATTGCCGATAAAATTCATCAGGGCTTCGGAGATGATTTAAACGTTATTTATACGGACGATAATGCGGAAAAATTAGTTTTCCGTCTTCGAATTACCAATCAGGATGGAGATAAAGGCAGTGAGGTGTGATTCACTGTGTAATATAGGGAAACATTTATGCGTTGATTTTCTCGGCTGAGTGATGGAAATGAAACATGTCCAGCTGTTTATATTTTTCATTAAAAATTTTAAAGTTTTTTTTGGAAGTTTATTATCTTTTTTAGGAGGAACAGATTGATAAAATGGAAGACGACGTTTTCTTGCGCTGTATCGAAGCAAACATGCTCAGTGATCTGACTTTACAGGTATATGACATTAATATTATTTTTTTATTTCAATACACTATTTTGGCCTTTTCAGGGCATCGAGCAGATTACAAAAGTTTATATGCACAAACCCCATACAGATGATAAAAAACGGGTCATTATAACTCCCGATGGAGGTTTCAAAGCGATTCCAGATTGGCTTCTAGAAACTGACGGTACAGCGCTTGCTAAGGCATGTTTTACCGAAATATTAAGGTTTATATCTTCAAAACCAATTTTTCTTCATCTCATTAATTTTAAGGTTCTTAGCGAGCCAAACGTTGATCCGGTGCGCACCACCTCTAATGATATCTGTGAAATATTTGAAGTTCTTGGTATTGAGGCAGTAAGGAAGGCTATAGAGAGGGAGATGGACCAAGTCATATCTTTTGATGGCTCGTATGTTAACTACAGGCATTTAGCCCTTTTGTGTGACGTAATGACTTCTAAAGGTAAAATTTCAGTATTGGTTTTCCCTTCAGAGTTTTTTGTTTTCTAAATCTTTCTTTAATTGGATTTGTGCAGGTCATTTAATGGCTGTGACTCGTCACGGGATTAACCGTCAAGAGGTTGGAGCTTTGATGAGGTGTTCTTTTGAGGAGACTGTCGATATCTTAATGGAGGCTGCGGTGCATGCAGAACAGGACCCTGTGAAAGGTATTTTGCAGCTACAATTTTTTTGTTTTTTTTTTTTACTTGTTATGTACTTAGGCTTTTGGAGGTACTGTTCATTGGTGGTTCGTAATTTTTTCAGGTGTTTCTGAAAATATTATGCTCGGTCAGTTAGCAAGGGCTGGTACTGGATGTTTTGACCTTGTGCTGGACGCAGACAAGTGTAAGCTTGGGATGGAGATACAAGTTGGAAGCCTTTTAAATACTGGCGGAGGATTCTTTGGTGGAGGAGCTTCTCCAGCTAGGTATTATTGTGCATTCTTTTTCATTACTTTTCCGTGCTTGTTTGTGTTAATATGTTTCTATTTGTCGGCTCACAAAATGGGAATTTTTTCACTTCAGTTCTTCTATGAGTCCAGCTCAGACACCGTGGAACGCTGGTACCACTCCTGCATATGGTGCTGCTTGGAGCCCGGCAGCAGGTTCTGGAATGACTCCTGGAGGCGCTGGATTTTCACCTTCAGGCCACAGCGAAGGGAGTTTCTCTCCATACGGGTATTGGAATTGTTTTTGCTATTTTTAAGAGTTTTATGAGGACTAATTTTTGCGGCTGTCATCATTTTTTGTCTTTTTTCTTCACCACTATATTTTTTCAAACAACATAGGATCTTATAGAAGTGGAGCTTGGAGTCCTGGGTCACCGAGTGGCTCTATGTCCGGTATGTCACCCAGTGGCGCATATTCTCCAACGAGTGATTATGGCTCTGGATTTGAAGGTTTGCAAAGCCCTGGCTATTCTCCAACAAGTCCCTCTTCCGCATTTGGTGGAGTAATGAGCCCTCGGTATTCTCCGACTAGTCCAAGTTAGTCGCGTTACTTATCTTTTGAAGTTCCATACTTGTTTGTTAGTTTTGTCGCCTCAGTATTCATTTACTTTTCTAATTTATTCCGTTTCAATTTTAGGTTACTCTCCTACTTCTCCAAGTTATTCTCCAACATCACCAAGTTATAGTCCCACGTCACCTAGTAAGATTGAATCACTTTTCTTTTTTATATGGTTTGTTTTATATAGTTTACCGTTTCATCCACATTTTTTCAGGCTATTCCCCCACCTCGCCAAGCTACAGTCCAACTTCACCCAGTTATTCTCCTACGAGCCCTAGCTACTCGCCAACTTCTCCTTGTAATTTTTTGCTTGTTGAGAAAGTAGAGCGTGATAATGCTTTTATTAGTGTTTTATGAACCTTACAATTTTCCCATTGTAAACAGCTGTTTATTTAAGCTTATTCTCCAACTTCTCCGAGTTATTCTCCAACGTCTCCTAGTTATTCCCCGACGTCGCCAGGATACTCTGCTTCTTCACCCCGATATTCCCCAACAAGTCCAACCTACAGTCCTACAAGCCCTACTTACAGTCCGACATCTCCTACCTATTCACCTACGAGCCCGACATACAGCCCTACTAGCCCGACGTACAGTCCAGCTTCTCCAGGTTGTTTCGTGAATGTTTCTTCTTTTAAAAATTTTTTAAACTATACTCACATTTTTGAGAAATTCTCTTTATTTTTTTATTTAATTTTTCGAAATTTCTTCAGCTTATTCTCCTACATCGCCTCGCTATTCTCCAACAAGTCCAACATATAGTCCTACGAGCCCCGCATACAGTCCATCATCGCCACAGTACAGTCCAAGTAGTCCACAGGTGAGTTTAGATTGGGTGGTTTTCTTTTCTTCTTTTTCATCAGTGTGCTTTATGTCACTTCTGCGACTTTTTTTTTCAGTACTCACCTTCGTCACCACAGTATACGCCAAGTTCTCCAATTGTAGGGGATGCCTCCCCAGCGGTCAGTTCTGTTGTCATTATCTTTCTTTTGTACTCGCTCACTTTTTTGGATTATAGTAAAAAATTTACAAGCATATTTATCTCAAATTAAAGTAAAAATAAAATTTTTTACAGTATTCACCAAGCTCGCCTCAGTACTCTCCTTCATCTCCAAGATACAGTCCCTCAAGTCCACAGGTAAATAATTTCTTTTGTCTCCATTTCTCGCCTTTTCCTCCTCTGTGTTTCGGCAAATGGTCTTCTAGCGATTTTCTTATTTACTTATTTTAGTACTCGCCTTCTTCACCTCAATACAGTCCAAGTTCACCTGGTGGAGCCGGAACAACGGTAGGTTTGCTCTCTATTAGTGATTAGCAGTTTTTTCTTGCTGCTTTCGACCACAAAGTTTGTTTCTTGAACAGTGTTCAAACGTTTCTTTTGACTGGTATACATTTTGTAGTACTCGCCAACGTCGCCACAGTACAGCCCATCTTCTCCTCAATATTCTCCGAGTTCTCCTCAGGTTCGCTTAGCATTTATGTTGCATTTAAATTGGAGACTTAACTTTTTGCTCAAGGTGGTACTTTTTTTT